ACGTACATTTTACTAATCTCCTAGGAATTCTTCTGTAAACAGTCTCACTCACTACACAGTCTAAACTGACCTTGAACTCACTGTGTAGCCCAGGCTAGCACGACAAGTATGTACCACAGAACCTAGTTTATTCTCTTTCTTAATCCAGTATTGTTGCCAGTCATAACTAATCATCTCAAAGGGACTGTTTTCTACATTCCAGGCTGTTTAGAGGTATTCCTGTATACCTGGTAGCATCAACTACCCCATGTAGCAACAACCAAAAGTTAACACAGTCTCACATAGATCCTAACACAAGACTGTCTTCAGCTGAGAACTACTTACTGATCATCTAAACTCAGTATTGACACAATATTGTTTGCAAGCTGCTTTTAAAGGATGTGAAGCAATGTGGGTATAGACAAAGACCTCTTTTTAAGCTATATAATCTAAGGGAAAGCAGCAGCACTATCAAAGACTGGTCACCATGATGGCGACGATGTATGTAAGATAAGAGGACTGGCTTTGGAGTTTAGAGCCCCGAGCTCTCCTCTGCTCTGATACTCCTTACCTTGTTGGCTTATGTTGCATATAAACTCTTGCCTTACCACGAGTCCAAATATACACTTCAGGGAGAAACTGTTAAATGACTTCCATACATACATCTATTACTGACACTCTCACGATGGGCTAGAATGTTATGGGTTGGTGCATTTATATTTCCTCTATTTCCTTGCCAAACTGTGGTCTGTGGTCATAGCACTTGAGATTCTGTTAAGAGATGCCAAGTGTCAGACCCTTACTGAAAATTAGCTGCATCAAAATCTTTGTCAGCAGAGCTGAGAGTGCTGCCACAGGTGGCCCTCTGCCTGGTCTCTCAGTTAACTGTGGGTGTGAAAAACCTTAACGTCTACGTCTACTTGTCACAGTTCTTCTCAGTTCTGGTTTGACAACTGGCTCCCGCAGCTAACACTTGCATTCTAGCTAATGCACTGGGGACCTCTCTAAGAATACTTTTCATACATTATTTACTCATGCGATCCACCCTCCTATGAAGCTGACATAATTATCATTCTCATTATACAAATGAAGAAACTGAACCCCACAGAGGAGGGTTAATGAACTCACCTAAAGCTTCAGTTGTAAGTACAAACCCACGGACTCTGCATCTAGAATCTGTACAGCCAACCCTATTTCTAATGATAGATCAAAAAGGATGCACAGGTTACCCCATTATTTTATAAATCGCCTTTGAAAAACATCGATACACCCTGTCATGGAAGTCCATCTTCTTATTTACTTACATTTCTAAGCCAGTATTATTCTTTGTAAAATTCTAGGCATTGCAACAGGCAATGAAGAAATGAAGCATCTTATTTTAAAGGGAACAGGGTATCTCTGTGAGTTCTAGGGTAACCTGTTTCACACAGTGAGTTCCAGGCCAGCCAGAGCTGCACAGTGAGATTGTCTCAAAAAGCAAAAACAAAACAACCCAAAAAACAAAAAACGGGGACATTTGTTGAATGTACTCTTTGGGATGCTTCAAGTCACTTCCAGGAGCTTGACCCTCTGATCTACTTTTTCCGCTTCTAGGAATCTGTTTCAACATAGCAGTGTGATGATTACTAGCACATATTTTTATACGGTTTTATTTATGAAAGAGTGTTGGAAGGCAGCTAATGGACTGTTAGGAAGCTCTAAGTCATTCTTTCATGAGGTTTTTCTAATATAAAGAAATAATGCTAACTTTTGTTTTCTTTATTTATTCTCCTTTCATGTATTATATCCCGCAGTTTCCTGTCCCTCCTCTCTTCCTAGTTCCTTCCACTCCGTTCCCTGCTACCCCAGATCCAGTCCTTCTCTTTTCCCTTCAGAAAAGACCAGGCCCTCCAAGCAATAAATCAGACAGGAGACTTTGCTGAAGCATATGATGTACACATGGGTACTAAAGCCAAAACATGGAGCTACAGTAACTTCAAAGTGTTTGGCTTCAAGGTATTACTTGGAATAATTCCTTACAGGTATTTATTTTCTTCAAATGTATTTTTAAATTTCTGAAGTACATATTGTTTATATAATCATAAAGACCTTAAAATTAATATTAACAATTCTAAAGTCAATCTGGGGGTCATGGGATTGTCCCATGCTTTCTGTAAATACAGCCATCTCAGGTTATCGTGAATTGTAATCTATGTTGTGTATATAAGCAAATGCCACTGACATTACAGACATGGAATAAAACCCAGAGAGGTTTGGCCTTCCAGCTATCCAGCAGGGCACTTATGTTGCATAAAACCACCAGGCAGGCAGTCACTGTTAACCATATACTTGGATCACGTCTCCTGAACAGAATTATCAATACATGGAACAGCTGTCTAAGTCTAGACCCCCTGGTTCCCTGGATAGCAGCACACAGTACTCCCTCTCTTGTTTATCTCTCTTAGAGGCTTGTCTTGTTCTTCTAATGCGACACAGTTTCTTTTTCTCAAGGCTTCCTTTTTAAGGATTTTTGATTTTAACAAGACCTCTTTTGTCAATCATCCTGCCTGGAAAAAGATTCAGGCTGAAATGTGAGCTTAGCTTTTCTTCAAATGGAGTATCAGCTAAGTACAAACTGCGAAGTATTTTGCTAGCGATGTATTAGTTATTAATAAACCACCTGTATCTACAGCAGTGTTTCAGTATCACAGGAGGAAATAAAGTCAAGGTGCGGGTGCGTTCTGATCAGGTGTTTTAGCAACAACAAGGCAAAGAGAAGTTTTGTATAGATGCTTATACAAGTCTTCCAGGTTGAGGGAATGGGCCTTCCGCACAGAAGAAAGGCAGAGTTAGGAGAGATGTACGAGGGGAACTGTAGGCTGGGAAGGAACCCAGCCTGCTTCTTATCAGAAAAGGAAACAGAAACAGACAGGATAGAACATGTACGATTAGGAACTGACAAAAAGCTGATTCTGGAACACACCACAGTGGCCCCACCCAAGAGAAGAAGGCATTTCAGAGGGCTGTGGCCTTCAGTTCCCTCTCAGTGTCTAGGAGGCTGAGGCTCTGGAAAAGCAACTGAACACACCAAACAGAAAGACAGCAGGGAAATGGCCACTGCCTCATTCCAACCTAACTAGTTTTGGCTCCATTTTAGTTTCTATCATTGACTTTTTGGAAAAATTCTGTGCAAATTTTAAGTAGCTTAGAAAGTAATTTTCCGGAATTATTCCATCTATAATTGGGAGTCCCGGTATCCTTAAAACCAACCCAAAGGATGAACAAGAGAATATCTCCATGATGAAAAATTAAAATGACTCCTTGGAATGTTTTATAGTTATTAACTCTAATTCTCCTTCAGATATTATATGTACAAAAATAGCTCTATCTATGCGGCACTGCATAGATTTTTAAATTTCATTTGCAGATTGTAAAAAAAAAAAAAAAACCCTAGAAAATAGGCTTTGTGATACTGTTGCCAAAATATGATGGATCACAAAAGTTTGCTTCCTGCATCAGTGGGTTGGGCTGTACCAGTTCTGAGTTCCTGATAAGAAGTTCCCAGGTGCTGATATGGTAAGATATCAGGTGTGTTTTTCCCATGAGTGTGAGGACATAGAGTATACAGGTAAAGTACGTAGCAAAAATATGACACGAGCAGCATGTCTAAGAAGTACAGGAAAATGAAATTTCATAGCACAATGGAGGAAGCAGGTGTGTGATAGCAGGTATTCTCTAGAAAGTATAATTTTTTGTTTCATCCCTTTTCTTAGTTCCTTTTTAAAATAGATTTTTAAAGATTTTATTTTTTTATTTTTATGTATATGAAAACACTGTAGCTGTCTTCAGACACACCAGAAGAGGGCATCAGATCCCATTACAGATGGTTGTGAGCCACCATGTGGTTGCTGGGAATTGAACTCAGGACCTCTGGAAGAGCAGTCAGTGCTCTTAACTGTTGAGCCATCTCTGCAGCCCCCTTTTCTTAGTTCTATTAACAATTTCAGTAAGACTAGAGTTCCTGACGCTGCTCACGTCATTGTATTGGTAAGGTCCAGAGATGCTTAAGAGAAGGATTTCACAGACCCATTACAACCATGTGTACATTTACTTTTGGAAAGGGAGTTTTAGTTGCTGGCTGTGTTTTCCAGTTGAGCAAGAGTAAGAGGAAATCAAGACTTTATTGAGTCATGCATGGTACAGTTCAGTAAAAACACCACCCGGAAGGGAACCAGCAAGATCTCCTAGCTACCAATTATTGGCTTCAGTCACTGGCTCCTATATTGTCACACAGATGAACAATTACTGTCCTCATGGTGATCAAGCCCAAGGCCACATTAACATTATTTTTGTTTCTTAAGTAATGTGTTGAGATGTTTTATAAATGTATTTAGTTATTAATGTACTTAGTGATATTAGAGGACAAGTTAGTTACAGGTATTATTAACTGATTATTCCAGAAGTTTTAGGTTTACTTATGTGATTTCTAAAGGTCTGCTTACCTGGGGGACTTTTGAGTAGCTAATTACTGTACTGCCTATAAAAAAAAAATCATCCCACGTAGAACTCAATTTTTACATTCAACTGCTAGTCTAATGTTGCAGGTATCTGATGTTATAATTCCCCTTAGTATTCTCAATGATACCCAATTCAGAGAACTTTAAAAGTACCCAGTTTCTCTATCACGTCTCTTACTAAAGCTTCCTTCCCTTTGGTGCCCACAGAAGGCAATTTTCTTTTTTTTTTTCCACTTCTAAAATGAAGTTCAGCTCTGCTGAGCGGTGTAGTGAAACTTGCTCTGGGAGAGTCCCGGTGTCATCCAGGCACCGACTCAGGCTTCCCGATCCTCTGTGCGGGCCGGCCGCCCACACCGTCCAGGGCGCGTGCAGTGCTCAAAACCCGAGCGCACGGCCCACGTAGCACAAGTTGCCGGGTGTTCTGAGGTGCGGCTCCGGAGGGCATTTCCACGGCGCCCGGCCCCGCCCGTCAACCGCTCACCGCGTGCCCAGCCGCCACCCCGCGGCCCGCGCGCCCGCGCTCACCTGCTCGCCCTCGTCCTGCGGCCGCCGGCGCCGCGGGCTTGCCCCGGGCTCCCGCTCCTCAGCCAGCCCTGCCGGCGCCGCCCCGTCCTCGTCGCGCTCCCCGCCGCCGGCGCCGCCCCGCAGCAGCTTCCTGGCGGAGCACATCCCACCGCCGACTCCGGCCGCCCGCACGGCTGCCGCTGGCCACACCGGGACTCCGGACGCAGACGGGAATCCTAGAAGCGCGCTCACCGGCCTGGGCGCCAGAAGTGCTGGAGCCGCCCGCCCCTCCTGTCAGCCGCTCGCCCCACCCCCAGCTCGGGGGCGGAACCCCGGGGGCGGGGTCTATGGGGGAGGGGAGGGGCCATGGCGGACCGCGGTCCAATGGAGGCGGGACCTGGTGGAGTGGGCAGGGTTCTGAGGGGGCGGGGCCAGAGAAGGGCGGAACCAAGGAGTTGTGTAGCATTTTCTCAGTAAGTGCCTGAGACTATGAATGAGGCCATAGGTTCCTAAGAGTGGTTGTATGTCTGACAGCTATTAAAGTATATGACATCTCTGTGAAACTGTGTATCTGTAGCTATCTGTACACAACAGACAGATATCCTGTGGTGAAGAGAGAGAGTACGTCAGAGGCGAGGAACACTGTAACAGACTGCATGAGGGAGATTATAAACTGGTCACAGGTGCATGAAGAAGAGTGTATCTGACAGGTTATTAATGTATGCGAGAGCCTGTGTGTGATTGTGTGTCTGTGAGTAACTGTACACACACACAACTTAGACGTTGTGTTTAGAGTGTGCGTGTGTGTGTGTGTGAGAGAGAGAGAGAGAAGAGGAGGAGGAGGAGGAGGAAATTATGTGTTGTGAGAAAGTGTGTGTAAGAAACATTGTAACAAACTGTAACCAAGTGCATACAGGCGATTATACTGGAGACTATTAGATGCACAAGATTGTGTCTGACAGAGTGTTATGAAAGCCTGTGTCTAATTGTGTGCCTGGAAGAGACTCTCACCCGTACATAATAGATTGCGGAAGACTGTGTATACCAGAGTGTATTGTGACAGGATAGTGTGGGAGATCATAGGTGTTGAAAGCCTGTGTGAGGATATAGGTGTAAAGAAGAGGGCACCTGAGAGTGGGAAGCCCCGTGTGAGAGGGAGCTGTGCACTCGAAGGTGTGAGCACGTAGAAGAGGTTCTCTGAGTGTGAAAGACAACCGAAACACACACAGTCTGCCTCCATGCAGGCTGCAGCAGGCGCTCAACTGGGCCTGGGTGTGCTGTTGGCTGCTGGTGCTGAGAAAGGAATGCAGGCTCTCTGGCACTTGATTCTCTCCTTTTGTCTCCTCTCCCTAAGCATCTCTGAGTGACTGTGCCTATTTCTCTCTGCTTTCTAGTGTGTGTTGCTTGTCAGAGTCCTGGGAGCATTTCGTGGTCTATCTGCCACAGTGTATATTTCTAGAAATAAAAACGCTCAGCGATTGATAAAAGAGAGAAATCTAGTTTCCTTTTCTTTTTCTTGCTAGCCCATCCATCTAAGGGTAAACTGAGGGGCATTAAAGTAAAATACCGAATTTTTGTGCTTTCCTTTTACCTGTGCACTGAGAAAAAGATTCTGGTGTAGATAGTATATCAAACTGTAGATGGAAATTATTTCATATTTCACACATAGATCTAGAGACGAGTAAGTCGTTTTGGAAATCCTCTTTTAAAATGTCTTCAGGGGCTGGAGAGATGGGTCAGCGGTTAAGAGCACTGTCTGCTCTTCCTAAGGTCCTGAGTTCAATCCCCTGCAACCACATGTGACTCACAACCGTCTGTAATGGGATCCAATGCCCTCTCCTACATGCAGGTGTACATGCAACAGTGCACTCCAATACATAAAATAAATAAGTCTTTAAAAAAAGAAAAAGCTAGTGCCTAAAATATCTTCAGGCCTAGGCAACAACTTAAATTGGTGGGAATTCACAGGCTTATTTTAAATAGTGGTTTTGTTTGAATTAGTCAGGAGCTTGTGTATACTTTTGCTCACACCTAACTCACACTCTCTCTTGCATGCTCAGTATCTCACACAAACATCACTTCTTACACACAGTCTATCTGTTACAGTTTGTGATGTAACCCAGTTTCTCTCTTACACAGCGTCTCACAAATCCTCTTTACAAGTTTCTGCCAAACACGTGCTCTCCCTAGGGACTAGAAAAATATACTTTTGGACATCACAAATTAGAAAAAAAAAAAAAAAAGAACCTGGCTTAGTGTCTATCTTAAAGGACTTTAAAATCTTAGATGACGGTAATAAATGTTGTATATACATAATCAGAAAGCATCTAGGGAGAAGGGCTGGGAGGACAAGAGTCTAACGTGTGTGTGTGTGTGTGTGTGTGTGTGAGTGTGTGCATGCATGTGTGTGTGTATGTGTGTGTGTGTGCGTGTGCACGCATGTGTGTATGTGTATGTGCAAGTGTGTGCGTGCATGTGTGTGTGTGTGTGTATGAATATGAATATGGCTTGTCCTCCCAGCCTTTCCATTAGACACTTTCCTGTTTCCAAACAGAGTGACCTTGGCTTCTGATTATGTACATTCTCATTTCTTTTTGTCTAATGGCAACATTTCATTTTTGAAATTTTCTTTTGACTATCATTCTCTATAAGTGATCTTTAAGAAAAAAAAAAAAAACAACTCTAGGATCGTACGTAGCAGCCCAGAGAACATTAGCCTTTCCTGCCAACCCTGTGGACTTAAGACATGTGTGTCTCCCCTTGGCATGCACTCATTAATGTCGTAAGTCCAACAGCCAGGCACTAGGTAAAATGAAGGAAAGCTGCTTGTATCTGTGAGAGCTCAGACAGCAGGAGATGGACACGGGTTAATGAAAACGTCCAGACCTTAGCTCGTTCAGCGCATGAGTCCTTTAGAACGTGCTGTCTGGTTTTCTCTTAACGTTCATTCCTTCTCTTCCTCCTCCTTTTCCAAGACAAGGTCTTGCTTCTGAATCACCAGCTGGCCTGCACTCAAGTCTCTCCTGCATCTACCTCCAGGGGGCTGAGACTGTGGGTATATTCTACCAGGGCTGACAGAGGCTCCTTAATTCTTTGAGATTTGTCATTTAGTGTTTCAGAAGTTTGTTACTGAAGGCTAGAGGCTCACTCAGAAGGACAGCCCTTCTCTCAGGAAACTTCCACTTTAATTACCACATTTCAGTATGCTTCTCTTGCCAAAGTAAAAAAAATAAAAACTTTTACCAAGGCATGGGTGGAGTCCTACGTCAGTAGTCTTTTTTTATGATACACATTTGGGTTTTTTTGTTTGTTTTTTTTGGTTTTTGTTTTTTTGTTTTTTGCAAATGATATGCTTTTGTTCCCATGAATTTGTTTTTCCTAGAGATCCAGAGAATTACATCTTGCTACAAATCTAATAATAGTATCTACAAAAGACATTATTCAGATTAAATCCCAGATCATACACTTTCATGTGCATTTTATGGGAAGAGTGGGTTATTTTTACTCTCTGAGCCATATGAGTAACATCTAAAGAAAGCTATCAGCCACTTACCCGTGGGAAATATAAGATTGTTATTACCTAGGCAACTACGACATGTCAAACTGCAGTTTTTACTAGTCTATTTGCCTGTTTCCCCCGGAATTAAGTGGCACAGTGTGCTTGTTTACAGAGTGTCTTGTGTAGCACAGCACGGCCTATGCAGCTGCTGTAAAAATGACTTTATGTCACACTGTCACCCCTTCATACCTTTTTCACTCAATTCACTTGCTCATCTTTCCAGCTGGTGTCAACTTGACACAACCTACACATTCCTGAGAAGAGAAAATTGCCATTGAATTTCCTGCATCAGATTGGCCTGTGGGCACGGCAAATCTATGCGGCATTTTCTCAGTTTCTACTGGATGGAGGGTCTGGTCTACTGTGTGTGGTGTCATCCCTGGCAGGTGGGCCTGGGCTGTGTAAGAAAAGTAGCTGCAAGCCAATATAAAAAAATCCAGAAAGCAGCAATCCTCAGGTCTCTACTTTAGTGCCTGCCTCAAATTCCTGCCTCATTTTCCCTCAATGGCTGACTGCAACCTGTAAGGTCAAATAAACCCTTTCCTCCCCAAGTTGCTCTTTAACCATGCTGTTTATCGTAGTAACAGAATGCAAACCAGAAGAGCAGGACAGGGGTGCAGATTAAAGGGACAGGGTTGCAAATGAACCTTCCCAGACAGTCAGTAGCATTTGCCCTACTCTTGGAATTAATTTACACCCTCTCTTCTCTTTCTTTCCTCTGGTGTGTTGCCTTTGCTCAGCAGCCTGTGGATTTCTTTCCGTGCAGTAGAAATGTACTGGGGGTAGGGTGGGGGAGGGGCAAGCATAAGAAAGCTGTCAAACTCATGAAGGGGAAGAGAGGGGGGAATGGAGGGGGAGAGAGAGAGAAAAAAGA